AGCTGTTCTATTTGAAGGAGATTGATTTCTGTTTTATTGAAATCAGGGTGACCTCTGTTCTTCTTCTGAACGTGTTAATAAAAATTCTGAGGTTAATGGTAATGTTTGCTCATTCTCAGCAAACATATATACTACTGAATAGCTTCTAGCAAAAGTTAATATAATAATATCATATAGCTTATTATTTAACATACGTTGCAAAGGGTGTGGGTTTTTAATTATCTCTGACAGTTGAACAGTAGCATGCGATGCTGGAAGCATGCTGTTTCCAAGCCAGCAAGAGAAACAGGATGCAATGCTTTATCGTAAATAAAAAGAGTATATAGTTATATGTATATATAGAAATGGATATATGTTATGTGCTACAGCAAAATAAGGTTGAAACATATTTTTCAGCAAGGTAGTTTGCTGAATAGAAAACAAACTGTGCTGGTCCCTCCCCAGCACACTGGTTACTTGGTATCACGGCTAACTACCGGTATTGGCTTTCAGCCCATTTTTACATGTATTTGTGTTCTGGAATCATTTCACACAATTGCAAGCAATGATTAAGAAGTAAGTCTTGCAGAATTGCCTAGACTAATTGTAAAGGTAAGGGGATTTTATTGCAAATCAAACATTAAATTACAATATATTGCATGTCCACTTTACTAGAGATATGCTGGGCCATAGTGAGAGTACAAAGGTAAGACACAAATACCAAGAAAGTCTCACTAACTCACAAAAGGACAGCATGTTTTACTTGGAAATACTACTTGGCAGCACTGCCTAAATACAAGTCTCATGCCAGGTTTGCAGAACTCTAAATAGCCATTTTAGTTACGTTAGCCTGGGGCATTCGTAAGCTGCAGAAGAAGGGAGCGAATGACTCCCTTGGCCGCCATTTTGTTTCTCATTCTTTGTGATACCTCATCACCGGTTTTGACACGGCAGCCAACCTTTTGCTGTGTGAACTGGAGCCAACTCACAATGTGAGTACAAGCATAGTATCGTTGCATCATTTTGGGGTAAAAATTCTTCCACTGAACCTTTCCTTATTCTTTATTGGCCTTTTCACATCTTGTAACCCACTGATTTTTTTTCTTCTCGCAGCAAATGACGCCTGCCCCTTCATACAAAAAAACATTTGTCCTGTCCCAGGAAATACAGCCCTCTGCACTGAACTGATACTTAGGAAATAGAAGCCAGAGATCCAGTACACAGATTCCCTTTGCATTATTCTTTTCCATAACTGAGTCTGAAATACTCAGAGTCCTAGTGCTTGTATATTTTTTTAAATAGACTTGACATAGAGGAAGATCGTGGCTTTGTTTTAAAAATTGACCAACATCAAGGCATTGCTATTAATTGCTTTATTTCTGATCCCTACTGCTGCTAGAATTCTGAAGTAGTTTAGTTTTTAAACCTAGGAGGTATGACTCTTTAGCATTCATACAAATAAAAAGGAAAAATACAATCTGAATGCTGATGACTTTTAAACACTTTCTGAATTGATTTTAAGCACCAAATAACAGACACTTGCATTTAATTAAGCCCAGTCAATATGGACTGGAAAATTCATACTGCTAGCAAATACTGTTCTGAAAGGATGTTCTAAACAATTTTGAGCATCTGGAAGGAAGAGGTGCTACTTGTCTCGATGCCAATTATCTAAAGCTTTCTAAAACACTTGTGGAAAAAACCCGTATGTGAAGACAGAACTTTAGATTTTTCCTTAGCTATATCCCACTTGCATTTATGGTTGAGATAAACAGTCTTCTCCTTAGATTTCACTTTTACCCAATATTACAAGTCTGTTTGTTATACTGCAGTGGTGCAGCAGTAACAGCTTAGACTAGCCAAGACTTCAGACAAAGCAAGAAACAAACCAGACACTGTAGCAATGCGAGCTCCCCAATAAAAAAGGAAGTTTAAACGGATGCAGCCCATGTGAACTGACCTTAAGGAAAAGCAAAGCACAGAACATGAGATACATACAGAAAATACATAGGCTAATCTAGGCTTTAAGCCTAAAGCCACAGCTGTACTGTCCAATACAGAATCGTGTAAGTTTTAAACCACATTTCCCTGGCAATACTGCTAATAAAATGCCTTTACTTTGGAATCCTTTTTCAAACAATGAAGTTGTGAACATGTGCTGTGCATTTCATCTTTGTACTTTATGGAAAGGATGGAGGACACACAGGGGATTGCAAGTTTGAAGCACAGGTATTTCTTGGGGTATGAGCATCTGTATGGGATTTATTTTGGCATGCGCTATCTTCATGTTTAGGCTTACCTGGCTGTAGCTTGTTTTAAGGATGCTCACAAGAACATAACACCGGGGGAAGTAAACCCAGCACCTTTCCTAATTCTCCTTCACAGTAAGGACTATTTTATGCAAATGTACAATCACAGAATTGCATAATAGTTTGGGTTGGAAGGAACCTTTAAGGGTCCCCTAGTCCAACCCCCCTGCAATGAGCAGGGACATCTTCAACTCAGTCAGGTTACTCAGAGCCCCCTCCGGCCTGGCCCCTTGAATGTGTGGGAACAAACAGCAGGGCAAGGAAAGCTTGAAATCCAGCCATTACAATTTTGGGAAGGCTTTCATAAATCACTGAGAACAAGCAACTAAGAGGGAAAGAATACTTAAAGCAATGCCAGCCTCACCTGTCAGCATGTTTGGGAATATTCTTCAAGCCTCAGTAAGAGAATCAGTAACAGTTTCAGGCAAAGACGCTACACATACTGACGGACTACTTGATTTAACCATGATAATTTTGTTAACTGTTTGTTGCTGGAGAGCTATTTTCTATAAAGCACTAACTCAAGGCACGCTTAAAAGACTGCTCATGAAAGCACCTACTGATTGTCTTTTCACTTGGGCTTACCTGATACCAACATTGGTGAGTTTAGAAAGCTGTTTGCCATCCACATTTGCTGAAGGTTACAGATTGACAGGAAAAAAAAAAACAAACCCCACAACCTTTTTGCTGCTTAGAAAATTCATTTTTAAATACTGTGAATATTATGAGAGGCTTAGCAGCTACCAAGCCCAGGGAAAGCCGAGCAATGTAGACCTCAATTATTGATCCTGCAGGTGACAGTAGTGTTAGATTACTACGACTTTATTGAAATTACTACCTTTAAAGAGAATGACAAGTTCTTGCCTGTTGTGTACTTCTGATGTTTCGAGTGGGTGAGCTGCCACTCACTGTGCTGTGGTTCACACTGCAGAGCAGGCTCTGAGCAGACAAACTAGTTTCCTTTCAAATGAAAGCAAGTTAGAAGATGGCTTCCAGAAGTGCTCTGGTTGCTAGCGAGCATTCAGTCAGCAGGATCAGACTAGAGCAAATCTGAAGTAAAAACCAATCTGAAACACATCCTGGCCATCTGGACAACCTCTTTCATTCGGCATGTGACCCACTGAGCTGCATCACTTGCTAAAGCAGGTATAGCCAAAACTGAAGGTAATACTAAAGTTAAAAGATACTGGGCTACGTTCATCCTTCACAATGACACCATATCTTGGTGCTTTCCACCCTAAACCCCAAACAGGTTTAGAAGAAGCAACAGGATGTGTTGAGCCTGGACTAGTTTGGCACTATACAAATATAAATAGGAAGTTTAAAGGCCACAGCCATATAGTCAGACCTTGCGTTTCACTATACAAGGGAATGGCAGATGCACGGCTCTCGAGAGAGCAGGGGCTTCTGGAACAAGGAAGGGGTGAAGAACCAGCTTTTGAGGTATACCATCTGTCAGTAAAAAACACTCCCGCGGAGGGAAAAGAGAGGGGTGGTTGGTGGTGTTGCCCTGCCAATGTGCAGCACATAGAAGGGCAGCTGCCCTATGCTTTGCCCTTTTGCACAGGGAAAGGTCACAATCATTTGTCCTTTTGTTAGGCAACCTACTTCAGCATTCAATATAAACAAAAGTGTTAAACGGTAAGTGCTCTTTGAGAAGACTGTTTTTCAGCTGTGATTATTCTACGGTTTGAGTTCATAGCAAGCAAAACTGGATTACAGTTTTGACTGCTGTTTGCCTGAGAGCACTGTGGAGGTAGAGAGGCACTGCCTGTCCTAAGCCACCAAAACAGCTTTACAGAGTAGGTGTGACACAGATGCCAATTGATTTCTGAAGGAACCAGCTTGACTGGGACAAACCTAAAGCCATATTGCATAGGCCTGCTTTTAAGCAGCACAATTTAATGAAGCTCAGGTGTGCATTAGCTTCAATAGTGTGCTCAGCCACCCCTTGTTCCTTAGAACAGCCATTTGCTTCAAGGGGGAGAAAACTGTCTATGTTATAATCATCCTCAACATATCACGCTATAGGTCATCTGCTTCAACTACTCTGTCCGCAGTCTGTTGTTCCACAGTAGGACAGGTTGAACAAATTCCACTAATTCCTATGAAGGTAAGATGATGTGTGGTGGAATACCTAATGAATTCCTTATCTGCTCCTAAAGTAGCCCAAGGTTTACATTCTCTCATGACCCAGGTATCAGCTACCACTAGAAGCAGCCAGTCCTGCCAGTTCCTCCCTGTCCCAGTCACGTCAGCATCCAGCCACAGACACATGACTTGGTCTCCAGTAATTCATGTGAACCCTCTGTAAACCAGCTGGAGATTTGTTTTGATAGCATCTGCCAGGCCTTAGACTAAAGCTGGTAAAAGAAAAGTGATGAAAGCCAAGATGGAGTGTATCAACAGCCTATTGTTTACAGTAATAATAGAGATTGTTTTGCTAGAAATAGTAGTTTTGTTAAGATCAGCCTCACAATGCAAAGCCCCTGAGTCAAAAAGACAAGGTGAGAGGTATGAGTCAATTCAAAGCAGAGTTTATGACTTAACGTTCATTACCATTTAACATTCAAACAAGCATTCCTAGGTCCCCTATATATGGATGCCCTGAGAGCACCTTTTCTTTGCAACGCCTTCTCAGTGATACAAACCTATCTATCTAACTACGTCCGATCAAGTAAAGTTCCCTGTTCTTCCAGCACCTGGGTTCTGTCAGGAAGTCTCCTGATAGCAGGTGGTGCTCTCCCCGGGCTGGGAATCACCCCACCGAGTGAGCTCATTTCCTGTGAGCTGGAGGCATTGGGTCCTTGCCCTGCTGTCTGGGGAGGCATGAGTGAGAAGCTCTTCTTGCTGCTTCTCCTGGGAAAAGATGCAATGTTTTAGGAAGCTGATGACTGGGGAATCTTTGTCATTACTAAAGAAGAGATTAAAGTTTTAGCAGTTTACATACATCTCTGAAAAGCTAAGTACACAGCTATAGAAGAACTATCAGTTTTGGAGAAGGCTCATGAATCTACACAAACAAGGTAAGCATGGCTTTGGAAAGGGTATCTGTAAAAGGTACAGAGGAGGTGAAGGAGAACCACCAAAACAGAGGTGAGTGCAGAGAAGAAAACATGCTAGCTGTTAGCTTTCAGACAAACATTTGGTTAATGAGCATCAACAAAACAGGAGGTATGTGCAGTAGAACTTTTCTAAGTACAGAAACAGTGCCTTGAAGCTATCTTGTACCTGTAATATTCTTTGCTGCTTAAATATGTCCTTTGGCAAAAGAGGAGAAAACAAACTAAACTAGAAGAGGGGTCTGTTTTCCACCTCTGTGTAAGGAACTACAAAAGAAAGTTTAGGAAACTGAAATCCTGACTGATAAGGAGCTGCCAAACACTGCCCCCCACCTATTTTCTTTGCTTCCCCCTCAGAAATTAATGTGCTTGCTTTACCTCCTTTTTGGAGCTGCTCTCTTCAGGGTTCTTTGGCTGGCAGTTTTCCACATATTCCAGCGGCAGGCAGCCAAACTTAGATTTGAACCAACGGTCAGCTGCTTCTAGGCTAGCTGTGATCTAGGCAAGACAGTGTCATTAGAACGGGAGAGAGAACAGCTAATGCACGCTATGTTCCAGTTTTTGATCTCTGTGCAAGAGGCAGAAGAGCACACAACTCCAGTCTTTCTCCTGTACGTAGGGGCGGGAGCTCTCATGATGCCTTCCTGCCATTGCTGTGAAAAGGATCCATCAGAGAGGTGCTCGTTACAAAGCTGCCCCTTTCTTAGGGGGGTAATGAAGTTAACATGGGTCTCCAACACAGCCTAAAATACAGAGGCGCTGGGAAGAAGGGGGGCAAAAAATGGCTGCTGAGTGCAACAACCTCCTGAGTAAGGTGAGGGAAGACTAACTTTGCCTGAAGAATGCTGTAGAAATATTCTCTTGCTATGAAGGTCTCTTTCTAATCCCAGAACAATACTTGGACTGATAAGCAGCATGTAAGACCTCAGGCTGGGGCACCTCTATTACTTTTTTAAGTTTACTTTGTGCTGGTTAATACCCTATAAAACATCTAAACCCCTAGATTGTCACCCCAAACTACTACAATAATCCATGGAAGCTACAATAATTTGGATACGGTGGTACAGCAGTGCGAGGATGAGGTGATGCAAGGACAAATGACCTGTTGGGGTGGGGGAGGAAATGTGGTTTTGCATGATGTCACATACACAGTAACACAAGAGCAGCTCAGGGGGGCAATTTACTTGGCCACAACACTTTGGGCTGGTTGGTTAACACAGATATCCCGAACCTGATAAGAACAAAAGGCTGTGGGCGACAAAAGCTCTTCTTACAAACCCTACTCAATTGAAGTGATTCCCAGAAAGGATAAAAAGTTTAATGTTTTTTTTTTTTAAAGTATCATAAAGGCCACTTAGTTGAAAAGGCCAAGGATGCACCTTGCTCTTCACCAGAGGCCTACACCTGAGATTGAAAGGGTTACTTGCTGCATGTGCTGAAATACTATCTTGTTACTTTCAGTGAATTATTATCCTAATGCTAACTAGTCTCACCTGTTCTGACTCCATGCTGGCTTCCCTCAGTTTCTTTTCTGCCTCCTCTTTATATTTCTTCAGATATGTGACGTTTTTTCCAGTTTCTAGGTAGAAAAAGAAGTAACACTGATTTCTATAGAATTTTTTCATGTTTTCACAAACAAAAAATTGCAGTCTAACAGGACTCTCCAATCTTTACTGTAAACAGCTTAGAGTACTATCATTAAAAAAATCCTGTCTCCCTGTGAATGTATGTTACGTTGTTCCTCGGACTTTCTGGAGCAGACAGAGTAAGATTTATAGGAATATCTTTTGACTGAGCTCATGAAGGCTTTTTACAATCTCTTCTACAACCGCATAGATTTTGCATCAAAATGCATCCATGGGTGTCTCGCCACTTTTTCATGCTGTTAGCACTTTACCTGACATTCATTTTCCATCTGCTGCATTTGCTTTCGCTCTGCTTCCAGCTGGATGTCCAGCTGCCTGTTCTGCATTTGCACTTCATGGTGGTTTTTCAACAACATTTGCATCTTGTTCTGCACACTCTTCAACTCTGACACAACTTTCTGCATGGCCTGTGACTGAAGACAACACAAGAATGAAATTCCAACAACATTTTAGCAGATCAGTCTCTTCAGAAAACTGGTCAAGCAAGCTCACTTGTTCATAATTCTTCTTCTGATACTCCTCTCTTATTGCTTCCATTTTCCTCAGTTTAGATTCAGTCTCCTGGAAATTTTTGAGAGAAACAAAACTTCAGGAATTTTTCAGGCTCACTGGCTGTTACTTGGGAACTATTTCTGCAGGCGTCTGCACATTGTGTCCTTATTTCTTACCCTATGAGACTGACGTTAACAGAACCTATGCCCCACCAGGGGAAGGGGAACAAGCAGGTGGCAGAGTTGCAAAGGAGTCTAGGTTCTCATTTAGGATCAGGTACCAGTTGAACCCTAAGTCCAACTAAGCTTTAAAGGATGGCAAGGGACTAATCACTACACAAGCAACACTTGGCCCAATCAATAATTAAACAGACTGTAGCCACAAAATGATAAAGAGGACAAATGCTGCTATACAATCTAATCGGGGGGTGGGATTCTATGCCATCATATTTAAGGGGAGGGGGGATCACAGGAGAAGCCACACAATTACTGTAGCTGCTATCAATCCATTCATCTTCCGTTCAGAATTTGAGTCCAGAGTCAGTTTTATTTTCAAGTCTAGCTCCACTGCAAAGGATTAAGAGCAGTCCTACGCAGTAGGAGAAAAAAAGGAGTTCTCAACTAGGACATCTATCTTTATTGAAAAACGTCTGCATACCTTTACCGTTTCTGTGTTAGCTTCACAGGCCAAGCATTGTCTGACTTGAGCTCTTTGGCTCTTTAGCTTGTAACCGTACAAAGACTGTTCCAGCTCCATGACTTTCTGCCGCAGCTCCCTGGTAGCAAGGGAAACTTCAACCAATTCGGAGGAGGATTTTTCAAGGCACTTCTTTAACTAGGAGAAAGAGGAAAAAGTGATTTCACACTAACTGTAAGAATTGGTTCATTCTATACAACAATTAATAAGCAGAACACCTAATTGATTTGCTGTATCTGAAGCATGCTACAGCACCTGGTGGTCTGAGTTTCCTTTAATCCCCTTCTAACAAAGAGGAAAAAAGTCAATGCTGGGATCTCAGTAATACTAAGGTTACGCTGAGCTTTATGATCCAGCCCTCAAGAAACAAAGCAGACTTTCAAGCCAGTATTTTCTCCCTGGAGATTGCTATACAATCCCAGATTATCCTTTTGAAGTCACTGGAATGACTGACATCAATGTCTAGATCTTATGTACAATGAGGTACATAGTGCTGGGGGATACAGAGTGGTACTTGAAAAAGTTAAAGAAAGCACAGCTATCACTGTGTGTGGCCACAAAAATGTCTGTCCACCACATGACAAAATTCTGTTTGTTGTATACAAGTGATGGACAACTCCATGATGAATGGAAAAGGAGACAAATATTTGTCATGAGCTGCTCTTGCTCTGTTGGGAAATTGTAAAGCAGCCCTCTTTCTCTGGAAATCACTCAGTGAAATCTTTTCATTCTCTCCCATTTCACCTCAGCAGATTCTTGACAGGCAGCTTTCCTGGAAGCCTCTTGTTCAGTTTGAAACTGCTTCTTCAAAGACTCTAATAGTTCAGCATACATCTTTTCCTCAGTCTTGGCTTTTTCCATTAACTCTTCCCTTTGAAGAGAAGAAACAAATTCAGTTATTCACGTTTATATTGAATATGCTTTATTTTTTAAACACAGGAATAGCAAAGACAATTCCATTGTACTTACTTTTGTCTTGGATATACTCTCTGCACCATTACTTTTAAGGACTGGAATGTTTTTTTGAATATTTCATATTCCATTTATTTAAAAGGAGGTTCAAAATAGCTATACAAGGTAAGTAGACTTTTTGGAAAAAACACTTTAGGACAACTTACTTTCCTTCAGAAAATGAAATGGCTAAGCCTGTTTAGACAAAGGGTAATGAAGAGATTCAGACTGCACCTACACTTATGTTTGAGGTTTTACTTCCTAGCGTACACTTCTGAGTGGGGAATTTAACCAGCTGTCCTGTGCTCTCCTTGCTATAGCTATTGCCGGCCGCTTGGAAGAGGAAGCAGTATGTGCTGTCCTCATGGAAAAGCTGTTTGCAGAAGGGCCATAACGACCCTAGGTATGCCATTCCTCAGTACGGCAGAGTGGGTCAAAGAGTCGTTATGGAAAGGAGTGAACGAGGCCATTTCTATAGCTCTGCATGAATCTGTCTTTATCATGCTGCTGGCTCAGCATACAGTCAATGCTGACATTGATAGATTAGTAAAGCCATAAAGCTCTGATGTTAGCGCAAAGTAATGTTTCTGCTCAAGTGTTGTATCATGGATCTGGTCTTACCTGCCGACCATCAGCCGCTGATGCTCAGTTTCTTTCCTTTTCAGTTCATACTGAACTTGGATCAGCTTGCTCTGCAGGGCATTATTGAGCTGCAGAACTTCTTCCAAATGATAATCAAGTTTCTGGTTGTCTGTTGTAGCAATTTATAGTGCCCTACAAAGTGGTTCCACCTGTGCAGTAAGAACAAATCAGATTTATTCTTATGAACAAGATTTATACAAATGAAAAAGCTCAGAAAGGAATATTTTTTTCCTTCCCAGTCATTATCAACTTGCAGGAAGTAACTGTGTGTTCACCAACTGTCTGATCACAAATGTCCTAAGCACAGGCACCTAGATGGGAATCCTTACAATGTCAGTTCACTGACTGGCTTAGTGAGAAGGATCAGAACAACCTGTCATATAGCCATGACTTTCGGGGGGGGGCTTAGAAAATGTTCTTTGCCAATAGTGAGCATGTTTGGGTTGTGAGGTAATCCTTTTGACACTAAGTATTGTAAGGAGAGATGAAAGCCATTCCTTGGACTCTTTTCCCCTCCGTTCTAATAAGAAAAAATTAAAGGCTATATAAACTTCCAAAATCTCTGTTCATATTATGTATCCAGCTGCAGACTGTAAAACCTTCACCTGTGCCACAGAATTTTTCTTTAGAGAGGAAATGCTTGCCTCCTTCAACGCATGGAGAACTATTTTCCTGCTCCACAACCGAAAATTGATAGAATGCTTTTGGCTTGAGTCACATAAATGTGTCACACCATAGTGTATTCAGGAAAAGAGAAGGTACTTCACGCAACACCAAAAATGCAGTGGTGGCTGTTACTACTGGAAAACACAGTCTCCACCTGGCTGCTCTGGTGCTTTCCCATGGCAACCAGTTTGGCTTGGCAATGTTCCAATGCTGTTTCTAACCTCTGTATTTTCTGTTCATTCTGGCTCCTGAAAATGGAAATCAGATTAAAAAAACCCATGCATTAAGTCTACGCATGCACCCCTCTTCTGAAGTGGTGACCATCTCACAGTTTGATTCTCTGCCTTAGCCATAGCAAGTTTTGCCTGTCACTGAAGTGAAATTGGTTTTTCACGTGCTTTCCACCAGACACACAAGGTCTGCCAAGCTTGCAGTTAGCTACAAGCGCTTGGTGTACTTGGTTCACCAGTACCAAGTACGTTTCAGTGTTGCAGGAAAGGACATGGGAAACTTTTCCAACACACTTGTCCTGTAGCTTATTTGCCAGAACCATGGGGAAGATACCAGTCTTCAACTGTTTCTGTCCTCACCATACTGCTGATAGACCGCAGAAACTGTGTGAGTTTCACCTACTTGTCTTTTCTGAGGTTGCTGATTTCAGCATCCTTGTGTCCCAGCTCCGTTCATGCCACATCCAGAGCTGCTTGCACCTTCTCATGAGAAGCTAACACATGCTCCAGCATGGCTGTCGCCTTACTGTTAGCACCCTTTGCTGTGTCCCGCTGGTGCTGCAGGTTTGCCATCTGCAGTACAAGAAATCATTAGGAAATGGAGCAGGAAAATCGGTCCTCTATGAATTTTATGAAAGGATTCTTTTCTAAGTAACCTGCATGCTTGCAGCCGTGCCAAGAGTATGCAACGGTTCTGAACATGGAAATAGCTTCCTCTAATTACAGAGCCTTTGTTCTACCCCTTGAGCTTTAAGCTCAAGTTCAGTGTGTGGTGGGGTTCTTGGGTGTTTTTTTGTGGGTGTTTTAACTGATAGTTCCACTGCTTCTGAACTCTTGGCACCTGGGCTTCAGGAAGTGCCACAGATGCCTGATGCTGGATTTTTAGTCAAAACCAGTTGTTGATTCTAATGTTGATTAGTGTAAGTTTTCATCTGCATCTCTTTCAAACAAAACACACTCAAATGTTTTGGTCCTTGTTAATTTTCAGCCATTGTCATCGATCAGTCAGTTGGAATTAACCATCATTCTAACTTGCATTTCATGGTTATCACTCACCACATTAAAGTCTCCTTCATTAATCCCAGTAGAGCATTCAGTTTTCAATGATCTTGGAGTGAGAATGGCTAGTATATTGTCCAGTTTTTCGCCCATGTTATTTACAGCATTTATGAGAATCTTCTGGCTGACCCTAGGACAATCTCCACATTCAGACACAGAGTTTTCTGAATGTTCCTCTTCTTCAAGATGAGCTTGGTGTAAAGCAGAGCAGTGAGCATAAGCACGGAAATCGGATTTGATAGTTTCTTCTCTTGAGCCTACAGCTGACCTAGCATTACAATCAGGAGGCTACTGTTGCCAAGACTTTGCTGGCAGTTCTTTTCTTTTTAGTACCATTCCTACCACAAAATCAGTCAGCCCTTGGAGGCAATGAAGATGTGAGTACCAAAACCAGAAACTGAAAAAATACTCTCCAAAACATCTGTTCACTGGAGCAGAAGTCGATGCTTCATCTTGTTCCTAAGTCTGCGTTTCTTCAGGAAGATCTTTAAGCTCTCTTCTGTGGTGCTTTCCACAGCACTTATCCAAAGTCATGTGAGTTCCCTCTGTATCTTGGCAACAGCGAGACACAACACTGACTGGAACGTGATGTCAGCCCTTGACACACTGCAGACAGCACAGTCCCCTGGTTCTGAGCACCCTTCTGGTCTGCTCCCACTGTTAGACCTTTCTACAGCTAGTTTGCTAGATCCACAAACCAATGGAACTGAGTGTTTTAACTTTCCCAAAATCTGAAAGCATTTGGGTCATGGATTCCAATTGCCAACATAATATCCAAATGCCTTTGACTATCTGATGGACCATCCTGCATGATGGAGAATAAAGTACAAGAGAAACTTTGATTCATTTTGCTTTCTGGAAATAGAAGGCAAAAATAGGGCCTCCTCTTTTCCAGGGAGGTGACCTAAATGTGGTTACATCTTCCGTCTAATTTCTAGATCAATGGAGATTATGGATATGACTGACAGTTTGTCACTTTTGCCTCTTTGGTTTTCCAACTCAAAATGATTACAAGATTAGTTTGGTACCTGAGAAGCAATGGGAGTCTGTAAAAAGCATTTACTGTTACCAGTTCATTCTTGCTTGTGAAAAGTCTCAATGCAGTTCCTTGAACTTACAGCTTAGAACAGCGAACTCATGACAGAGCAGAGGCCACTTCACAGTCTTACACCTACAAGCTTGGTTTCCCTGCCCAGGATAACACACCTCTTCTCTGGACTTCTGTCTATTAAGACTGAGCAAACAGACTGAAGAAGAATAACTCTCTGCCCCCAGAAATAAAGCTTGACAAATATTATCTACAACTCTTTGTTCTCTTACTGGGAAATAATAATAGCTCCGGAGGACAATCTTTATAATCCTCTAAACTTTGTGTTTTCTAGCCTGAATACCTGCAACTAACTTGTAAAAAACCCAGCTCCGTTCAGCTGAGCTTCCATAGCTCTCCTGTTTATTTTGATGAAATCAGGTTCTGTTTCCAGTTGCAGACGAGAATGTTACAGTTAATGCTAAAGGTATACTCTGTTCTTCAGGAAAAAGTGTGTTGAATCAGATTTCTAATGGCTATGTAAGCATCAGTTATACTGACCCTAATTCTGAGGGTTAAGTAGTTCCCAACGTTCTGTTTCACCTGATTGTGTTTGATCTCTATGCAATGCACTTGCAAAGCTCACTATTATCTAAACGTGCTTCTACAGCTCTTCCTCTGGCTTCTGCACTTCAGTCCTAAGAGATGTGGCAAAATAGCTCAGCTTTCTTTTAGTGCAGAAACAGAAAAGCATTATCTTATCTGGAACACAGAAGCAGAGTGATGTGACTATGTCTCTCTGCCCAGAGCCAATAGTTTCTTTTCCCTGAGTCTCACAGTAGAAGCAGCAGCATGTGAATTGCCTCTAATTTATAGTTCCATAGAAATAATTCCAGATTAGAATTCACCTTGTTTTAATCTAAGTATGATGTCTTGGTCACTTCCTTCTGTCACTACCATCAGACGAAGGACTATTGCATAAATGTAGCTTTCTTGCTCTCTAATAATCACTACACTTTCTGTGCTGTTTTTAGAAGAAACTCAGGAATCTTTGCACTACTGCCCCAAATTCTATGACATAGGTCATGCTGAAGTAAAAGCTTTACTTTTAGCACCTCATTTACTGTCTAGCTAACTTCTGCTTAAGAAAGCTTGCATATGCTGTTTATTTTTGCTTACCACCATGTTTTGCCTCCCTCCTTACTAATTTGTATTTTTTATAAAGTCTTCCATGTTTCTAATCTTTCAACCAATTTTCTACCCATATATTTTGTTTTAATGCCCCCTGGTGGTTCTTAGCCATCCTACTATTTTCACACATAAGGAAGTTAATTATCGTAAACCCTAGGAATGCTACATCAACAGCATCTTGTCACCCAAAGGCAGTATGAGCAGGATTGAAGATGATTTTGACACAGAACTCTCTTCATATATGTGAGTGACACCACACAAATAAATTAAGTAGAGAAGATAAATAAGCATTTCCCTCCAAATTAAGTATTGAAGAGCTAAGGTTAAACAACCTTATCTTAGATGAACATAAAAAAAAAGTTTCCCTTTTGAGCTAACAAATAGGATGCTGAGAAGTACCTGCAGTTTTCCTTTATCACAGGTCAGTTTATTCTTGCTGTCAGTCAGCTCTGCCAGCACCTGTTGCATCTGCTGCTGGGCATGCTGAGGAAAAAAGAACAGATGTCACAATTTTGTGTTTCTCCCTGAGTATTTTAACTTTCCTCTGATGCTTCAGGTATAAATTTTCAGTTAGGTGAAACACTAGAACAGATTAAAAAAAAAAATCCAAATGGCATAAATTCCTCCGATAGCTTAATGTCTAGGAAGAACTGCTCAAATTGGTACCTTTCAGATGGCCACAAGAAGGCGACTGTCCTAGAAGTACAGGCAACAGAAATTGAAAGATGAAAGGAACCTTTGACAACAGGGAACAGAGAAGCAAAAATAATGAGAAGAATGAGAAGGCATGGACAGAATTAAAATGACTTAGAAGGACCATAAAGAATACAAAAAAATTAAAAATTGAGCAACTTTTAAAGGTTCTGAATGCTCTATTGATTCACATTCCTTAATAGATGACTGCCAAGGGAGTTGGACAGAAAAAAGATACACATATGTTACAGACTAACTACCGTAGAACTGTTACTTTAATTATCAAATAACAAATATTCAAAATGTGTTTCAGTTAATTCTTCTTTAGCATCGTGATGTTAGGACCTTATCTGCAGCTAAGTGTTTCTTAGGCTCTCCAATGTATACAACTGGTCATTACATCCAACACTGTAAAAAACCTCAATGGTAAAAGCACTGGCAGCACAGTATTACTAAGCTTTTACTCGGCTTTTCTGGAACCAGCTGAGTATGCTGATCCAGGTGACTGACACTAGTAGTGAAAAATAATGGAATGGAAACAAGTTAAAAAAAGGAATGAGGTCCCAAGTGCAAATTTGTCCGAAAAGGGCATAAAACTGTGGTTAATACAAGCTGTATACCTGTACTAGAAAATAGAATGGAGTCATGGGATTTCAATGACATACCTAAATGTCCAACACCTGAAGTTCCATATAGTCCTCTTAGATCATCCCACACAGACATCTATAAAGATGGAGTAACATTTGAGGTATCTTATCCTTTTGTTTTCCATTTTCTCCCCTTTTTGATTCCTTAAATTGATCAGCCACTCTCCATAAAATACAGATTACTTCAAAGAGCACCTTGATTGCTGCTACAGTTACTTATCAGTCAGGTCATTAGTTATCTACTTTATTAGTGGCCTACCTGCTCACGTACCAGTGTAGCCAAACAATCCAATAGCCTCTTATTCTCTTCCTCTAGTGTTTACAAAGTGAATTTCATTGAAATAATTTCCAGCTATAAACAAGAAAATCATACCACTTTGGGATTTCCACAGTCTCAATATACGAATGTCACAAACCCTTAGCACTACAAATGGATTAGGTATAGTCTCTTCTGTTTCAGAGAGCTCTTCCGCAACAGTGGAAGAATCATGCTGACTTAAGTCACAACACTAAGGAATTTCTCAATTATACCACAAACGCTATCTGTCCTTTTCCAGGCTATACGTATGCAAGGAAGCTACACAGGTAAAACATCTAGGAGAAGCTGAAAATTATTTATCATTTGCCCTAGTAGCATAACAAACTTATTACTACAAAAAGGGCCTTGTGTAGGCAGCAGTAGGCTTGCTGCTCCAAAGGACACATCCATATAGACAAGAAAAATATCAAACAGCAAAAGTGAACAATATGGCTATGGTAAACATCACATTATTTAGAAATAATTTATTTGAGAGAGTAAGGAAAATGAAAGGAAAACTTAGAGAAAGACAACACTACATTTAAAGAACAGCCATATATACTGCAAGATACCTCATTCTCTGCTTTTTCTACTTCCAGTTTGTTCCTTTCCTGTATTGTTTCATTTGCTGTTGTGCTTACCTGTCAAAAGTAATGTGAAATCATTGTCATCTGCAAACATCCAGATTCAGAGAAATACTACACATCTTCAGACCAGTTGATCTGAAGGTTCCAAGTCAACTCCACAGTTCAGAAATAATATCTGCAGAGCTGTCCCATCTTCTCTCCCATTTCATGCTTCAGAAAGGAGACATTACAAGTCAAATAGAAGCATAGTAGGAAAGGGGAGAGTGTGTCACACTTGCCACTAAATAGCAAAAAAAAAAAAATCATTCTGAAAGCAAAACTGGTATGTAAGTAAGAACCCTAGTGATGTGGGTTCGAAAGCAGCCTTCAGGAATATAGCTTTAAAACAGTAAGTTTTCTGTACCTCCTGTTGAACATCTTCCTTTTCTGCCAGCAGAGATCCCTTCTCTTGCAAAGCTGTCTCAAGTTCACCTTGAAGTCTAGCAACAGTACTTTCCAAAAGCTTTCTCTGTGTGGTTGCTGCCTCCTCAGCAAGGCTTGCTTTCTGCCCATATTTGCCATGCTCTGTACGCAAGGCCTCCCTAAAGAAAGACAAAATAGCCAAGCTGGAGTTGTAGCATAATAGAAGGACAGAAGGTGGCCTCCATATTAAATACCAAACTGGCCCTTCTGTGTTAATAAGTAACAAGTGCTAGAAAAGCAGAAATCAAGGTGGTGGGAACGCAACGGAGGAAGGGGAGGCTGAGGCTGTGGATGAGAAAACTCCTCACAGCTCTCTTTGAAGCTAAGCCCTCTCATGCTGCATGCTCTGCAGCTCTCCAAGAGTGTTGGCATTGGAAGCATTCAGAAGCCAGTCTTGCTCTTGTAGCTTACAAGCCTTTTCTTGTTCTTCCTAAAGAGGAAAAATTACCCAGGCAATAACACTAACATCAGAATGATGAGGGATGAGTAATTAACTTACAAAGCTGTTCATTTGTCATTGAGCTCCTACATCATCCCTATAGTTCTGCATGTTGTGGTGTGCTGCTTCTTGAATAGGGTGTCAAAGCTGAGTTCACCCTACCTAGCTTTTATATGTGTATTTAATCTCAGATCCTTATTACTTCCACTCAGCTTCTGCATTTACAGTACTCACAATGCCCATTAACTCCTACTTTCCTCTTTCTCAGTGGTTGTTACAGGATGTTACTATAAATACTATTACCATATTTACACTCTTTATCCATAACGCGACTTCTTTTTTCCGTACAGAAAAGAAATCTTTGCTGAAGGACACGTTTTTATCAACACCTTTATAGAACTTCCACTGCCATATGTCAAGTATTTTACTGTATTCCCACAGATTATCAGTATTAGGAATTAGTCTGTTGTCTAATGTCTGAGCTGCAGACAGTAGTAGTAGACTGCTGTAGTAGTAGACTACATACCTTAAGCATGGTCTGATGATCTGAAATGAATTTAGCATTCTCCATGGCAAGACTTTGGAGTATGGTGCTGAGGTCTGAGCATTGCTGGCTTAAGTGGTCATTAAAGACCTGGTTAGATAGAAGGAGGAGGATGATGACAAACATGTTTTCAGGGTTTGGGGTTTTTTTTCTGCATAGTAGACTGTCAGAAACTTATTAAAAATCTCTTGCAGAAGTGGAAAAATCCATTTTAGGTAGAAAGTGTCCAAAAAAATTTCTTCAGGTAGTCCCAATTTATGGCAGACTTATTCCAAGGTGTTAAAACTTTACAGTAATCGGAATAAAGAGAACATAGTTTAAACTACCAATCGAGTACAATCACTTGCTAGTTTTGAAGCCCAGAAAAAAGTAATGTTTCTAAGGCAAAGAAGGCAAAAATTGAAAAGAGACCCTTACTAATTTCATAGTTGAATTCTTGTAGATAACCAAAGAAAAATGGAACTTTCTGTGAAAGACATATCCAAATCCCATTACCAGTGAATACTACCCAATAAACAAGTCTCTGTTGGGGAGGAGGGAAAAAAATAGAAAAATGTTTCCAAGACATGTTCTAAAATGAGGGAAAGTAGAATAAACAATTTTTTTGAGAATGTACTGAGGCCAATCTTTTGTCCCAAAAGGCAGAGGAAATTTTAGCCAAGAAGGTACTCCATATTTGACTCATTAATAGAAACATATTCATGTACAATCTAAAGGTGCAAAGGAATATAACTGTACTACTTCAAGGGTAGACAGAGGAGGGAGCAGCAGTAGTTCTGCATGTCCTGGCCCCTGAAGAAGACACTTTCAAAAAAAGCTGCCTCAAAATAAGTATTGGGCAGAAAACTTTCCAGCCTTAAGGCCAGGAAATCTGGAACAGTTACCTAGGCTAGTGACTGAATTCCTTCACTGGAAGTTGTTCATTAGCCTGCATTACCTGAGGGCACTAAATTTCATCTCCTGACCTGCATCTGAGGCTTCCCAGTAAATGCATAATCATTTCTCCCTGTAATCACTTGTTTTGTTATACTTCATTTCCATTTTAGAAACAAGAATAGCTATTCTTATTACCTCTACTTTCTGTGCTGTTTCTCACAGGGCAGTCATTTTAGAATGAAGTTGCAGGTTCTCTTTACATTGTTTGCTAAAGGACAGCTGTGCATTCTAGGGGTCAATAAAGCAGAACATCCACTGAGGAAAAAAAGTAAATGTCATTAAGTCTTTGTTTCATACTTGCCTATTTCCTTTAAGTTATTGTCACATGGCTATGTGCTCTTGCAAGCACCAGACATGGCTCCTATAGTGCAAGCCTCTTTCTGAAATATACCTTGAAATAACAACCAAAGTGCTACCTGCTCTAACTTAGCTTTGAAAGTTGAGGGTGACTTCACATCCTTCTGAGCTCAAACTTACTAGTCTTCACTACAATTAAACTCAATACTTCTGAATTTAAAAGATGTCCCTGCCAGATGTGGTACAATTTACAATTGAAGGAATCCTTTGCCAGCACTGTGAGACTCCACGTCTAAGCTGAACTTTTACTTCATCTTCACTGAAACTTACTCCTTCAGAGAAGACTTCAGACAGCACACACAGTCCCTACACAGACAGTAAGCGTACTTCTTACCTCTTCACCCGTTTAGTACCCAGTTGACCAAGGTTCCGATTTTTCTGCAGTATTAATCACCAATCCATCTATTTGTCTCCTTTGGATGCAATATTTGTGCTACCACAACTGTGTTTTGTGGTCAGCTCTAGATTTCCAAGGAAGGCATTCACATCACTGTTTTGATATTCCAGTAGAATACGAAAGTTAATCTTTCAAAAATAAGTAGGGCAACCCCAAACTGGTAAAATAATATAATAAGACACTCTGTAGCCTTGGTCACATTTGGCATTTGTCCACATAAAAATTCTGCCTCTGAAGTACTGCAGGTTTGAAAGGCCCCATATAGGCTGTTCTGATCTTTATTTAGCTATTCTCCTCACCAATACTCGTTTACAACTTACTTTTGCTTCTTCACCAAGCTGGGAAATGATACCGTTCCTGGAGTCTAAAAATAAAAAAGAATGTCAGGACACACTTTGTTATCTGTTTGGTAATTTTAAAAGGTGACATTTTGATTTAATATTTGAGTTTAACCAAGTTACAGAATATGCCACAAACAGGTAAGACTTCTACAGATGTGTTTTCTTTAACAGTTTTCTTCATAATTTCAATATTTCAGCAAAATTACTTTTTAAAATTAATTCCATAAATTAATTGTAATTTATTTAATTTTAAAATTAAGCATGCCATCATGCCAATCTCCTACACATACCGCTTCTGTGATTGCTTGAGCAAATCAAACAACCCTAAGTCTCTTATTCAGCTGTCCAGTGTGTAAGCAACTGATTTTTCCTGACTATAACCCACAGCCCATATGCAACTGTACAAGTTTTTGTGCATTGACAAAGAACAATAGTTAGATCTCTGCTTAAGCCACACAAATCTAAAAGCAGAAGCATTTTTGTTGGAAACTGAATCAACCTGCCTGTAATAGCTACTCTCTTATTCTACTGTGCTGTATAACATACTGGAAGAAAAGGAAAACAAGAGACAATTCAGCATGAGCAGGGTAGGGAGGGAAATCTAGCCAAAATATTATGACATCCAAGGCATCATGAAAGGATCACTCAAAAGTTCCTTCAATTAATGAAGTGAAAAAGCTTTGATCAGCAGGATTATTTGATAAAGGAGTAAAGAAAATTTGTATGTCTCATTTGTCGTTTGCATATGGATTTGTTCTGCAGGAAAGAATTCTTCTGGCATCGTTCTTCCCCATTCAGCCAACTCTGCCACATGACAAGTTTCTCTTCTCTTGCCAGGCCTTACACAGAAACACTGACTGCCTTTTGTGACCTGCGGGTTAATTATCGCATGTGTGACTTGCCAAATAACAAACAAAACATATGGGAACTAGGAACACTTCTGTAAAAGAAGTAGCTAGAAATCTGAAATAGGTCCTGAGGAAAGGATCACAAGAATAATAATTATGCTAGGATTTAGGCATGGTTACCGTGAATTGGGAATAAGGAACAGACTTTAGGTTAGGAACATTTACCTTTAATTTTGACAATACGGAGCTTCCCCCTACCCTGGAGTGCATTAAATGCCACTTAGCTCCCTTATAAGCAGCTACTTTCACATCAATAGACTGGGAATCTAAATGAGATCAACTAGATGCTTGTCCTTATGCTGATGTTTAATAGAGCATGTTTTTTTTTAATCAGCTCCTAAAAGACTCAATAGCAATTGGCATTCTACTTGCACATCAGTTCAGGAACGGTTTAACGGTTTACTTGTTAGACAAAGTCTCCTCTGAAGAGAATTTATGCTGATGTGAATCTTTTCCTATTATTGTTGTGTATTTGTTACCCTGATTACCACTGTTGTCAGTTTCCTTTAGGTAAGAAGAGGCTTTAGAAGCATCACATGCAAACTAAAGGCCTTTAATATTTCATCACCTCTTAAGCTGCCCTCCATTCCTGTTGACCAATACACTTGCCACAGGTCTGGAGGACCTCAGTCCTTGTTTCCTCTCGCTGTGGATGCAGTGAGAGAAGGGCTAAAAAGGCATGACTAGAACCCACTGTCATACCTAGCTCAGACTTCAGTTGTGTGCACCGTTGCTCTAGTTGGGCAGTTCTTTCCTCCTCCTCTTGCAGCTTCACTCGGGCTAGCTGGACATCTTTACGCAACTCTTGGCAGTTCCGTTGTTATATCTTTACCTGCAATGATATCACAGATTATTCTTTAAGATGCAGAATTCAGTCAGGCAAACCTAAGCAAATTTCATAGACTGAAAAGTTGATCTAACTGGAAAATATATATCCTAATCAGCTTCTCCTCTCTGCTTATCCCAATCTTATGCAGAAGACTTTTATGGCAAGTAATTCAATTTCTATATGTAATGCTGTGTATGTATGCTTCTAATCATCTTTACATGACAGGCAGAATCTAACAAGTTTGCACAATTAAAGATTACAGAAAAGATCAAGCTAAAAAAGATGAAGGTGAATGCAACACTCAAAGCACTTAACAAGTCTGTCTCATGCCATTTTGTGAGGAACTTTCTTTGTTTTAACGCTATCTAATAAATATACCACAGGGTCAGCTATACCCATCAGAAAGTGATACATGAATCAAACTAAGCCTTTGCTTCTCACATGATGTATAATTAATATAGTTCAATAACGTATCCATCATTTTTCCGTCTGCTGTAGAAGAAGACAAAGATGAAGCATGTAGGAAAAAAATCTAGTAATTTCCAACAGAACTTTGCATGTTTCAGGAACAAAGAGACATTGACGATCATCATAAAACTGAAAAACAAAACCCTTAGTTATTCAAGTTTTGATACTTTGCTATTCATTTCTTTTATTCTTACTAAACTGTTGCTATGAATTCAGAAGTGTTAGAGTGATTGCATGTGGCTTTTGTGTGTGTACACATGCAGAAAGGGGGATTGGTTTTGTTTATGTGTAAGCCAGTTCATTTCTACCATGAACTATGGTCCCTCCCCACACTCCAAAATAGCTAGATAATACAAATACAGCTGAGAACAAAAATCTAGCTTTGTCACCATGGCAATTAACAGAGAAAACATTCTTACTCCCTGAAGGTTTAATATCTCAAAAGAATATTTTTCAGAAATTGCATTTTCTAGCTATTTCTATCTATTTATCAGTACCTGAATTATAAAGAGGCTTGTTTAGCCTGGTGAAGAAGAGGTTAAGGCAGAATCCAGTTGTGGCTCACAAATCTGAGAGATAGTTAAAAAGATTATGAAGTCAAACTCTTTTCAGTTGCATTGAATGATTTACAAAGGCACAATGGTCCCAAAATTAAGCTTGGAATGTTCAATTCGGATGCTAGGAAAAAAAAAATCTTAACTGGAACATTACTACAGAACTATAAAAAAATACCTAAAACAGCCATGGAATTATAGTCCTTGAACTCTGCTAGACAAATCCACCACTGCCCTAATCCAGTGTTTGTGGTACTCCTACTTTGAGCAGGAAGTTTGACTGCATGATCTCTTCTGATCAACATTTGTACAAAACGTTGCAGTTATAAAGTGTTTTAACTGGTTTCTAGGAATGATGTTCAAGTTCTTGCTCTTCCTCCCAGATGAGAAAATGAAGAGAGACACAAAAGATGAGTGAAAGTTTCTCAAACCTTCTTCCATTCTGCTTCTACTGTTGTTTCCATGTCCCATATATGGCACATAACAGTTGCTTGGGATTCCTCTGAAGACTCCCACAGGCTGCTCTCCTGGGACAGCTGCTCTGTTAGCTAGAAAAAAATAAACACTTTCTGATCCAGGTCTAATTAAGTAGACTGAATAAATACTTCGAGATCATACATGAAAGATGTTCTGTCTGGGTATTTAGTTATTAGCATGGCTGGCAGGTTCCTTTGGGTTTTGCACATTCCAAAATTGCACCCAGAATATTATTTTAAGGATCACCGTCTTCAAATCTTTAAATAATACTTGGCAAATTCAGCCTCCTGCTAAGCTCCTTGCTCTTGTACTTACCTCCTGAAGTCTACAGTTAATTTTCTGTTTTATGTTCCTCAGTTCCTCAGCTGCAACCATGACATCCATCTAAAGAAGATGAAAGGAACAGATATTTTTATCCTTTCATGTTCATAAGTATTGCAAAAGCAACAGGTATTATAAAATGCAACTGCCATGCTAACACCTAGAACTTGATTTCTATCTCCAGTCTGATGTTCTCTGTTCTGAAGTACTAAATATAAGAGTGCAAGCACTAAGAAGCAACACATTCTTTAACACAATGAGACTGCGTGACATACTCCATTGACAGTCTCTTTAGGGAAGATAGTAATAGAAGTGTAAGACCGAAATACCAGAGAAATGCAAGTTCCTGGAAAAACAGAAAAGCTATTGAGAACTCTACACAGGAAGGTTAGGATGAACTTAAGTCATGAAGACAAGAGAATTACAAATCTCAGATATTTTTATTCTTGATTTGCTATGCTAATTGATGGAAGCATAGATTCTCATTATCAAAATTATTTGCTCTTATTGCCAACAATATATCATAAACTCCTTTTTCCAGCTGAGTATACTTTCTGTTTAACTATGTCAGAGGTGAACGCACTTAAAAACAAGTCTGTTTAATACTTGAAACTGTAAGATTGTAATCTTTTGTACCTTGGATGCAGTTATAATCTCCAGAGCAATACTCAGTCTCTGAACTTCTTGTGCCTTTTCTTCAGCCTCTTTCATATCACTCAGGTGTTGGGGCAACTTCGTTGCTTCTTGCTGTACAATCTTCATTTCTTGCAAATGCTCCTTGAGGGTTGCATTCAGGCGCTGCTCCAACTGGGCTGCCACAAGGAAAAGGCAAAAAATTTTCATTGACAGAAAAAGCATATGGAGGGACAATGAAGAACAAAGTGGTAAAAAAACCCTTTTTTACTACCTGCATGCTTGGGATTCAGTTCCTTTTCTAGCTGCAGCCGGAAGATGTTTAATTTCAGTGTCTGTACAACACTCACTAACTGACACATTTGATTCACCAGTGTTTCACAGGTTTTCCACAGTGTATTTTCTCCCACGAATGCTACCCTGGCCTGCACAGGGCTAATGGCTGGGTGACTAGCAGGTGTTTCTGAGGTCTTTGAGTGGAAATGATCGAGGCTGAAAGGAAAAAAAGACTCATCTACTCTGTGTATGCATATCGAGGGTTTGCACAGATGCATTACAGATGCGATTAGATTAGAAACAACATTTCATAGAGCTCAAAAGTGTCTTGTGATCCCAGGATGCTGTAGCCCATTCTCGCTAACTCTGCTGGTACCTGCTCTCTCACGGAGCAAAGAGCAAAGCGTGGCAAATGTGTGCAAAGAGGAACAAGATGAGAAAAAATCAAAAAATCGTGAGCTCTCCAAGAAGAAAAACAGCTTAACCCTGCTTTCTCCCTACCTCTGCCCCATCAATGCTGAGCGCCTCCAGGTCTCGCACCAGCGCAGTGGTTTGCTCTTCCACCACCCTCATCCTCAGGTGAAGCACCATGAAGGCCTCGGGCGCGGTCGCCCTGACGTTCGTGGGCATGACAGCTGGCCTG